AACTACGCGTAATCGTATTTCAGAATATATTTCATAGTTCAGCTTTATAGATACATGTATCCCATTTTTCTCTGTTATGCCTTGTAATGTAACAACTCATATTGTTAACCGATCAGGGTAGTGATTTTTCTGGCGTTATTTATTTCTCAACATTCTTCCGAAATTAAATTGCGGACTATCTATGGATTTCGGTGCCGAAGAGCTCGTGGTTTTGAATATATAAAGAAAAAATGAAGACTTGTTGGCCCATCAATGAATTTAGAATGATTTCAAATAAAGGTGCGAGGCTCTTATTCACAAAAATATCGGCATTTATTGATAATAGGCGACGACGAAGCCATCCGCAGCAGCTATTTTTTTTTTCTCGACTGGGTAATGTTTGGATTTCGGTCATCCCCTACCCTCTCCCCGCCCCCCCCCTCCCCGCCCACTCGCCGTCACAGACTAACGCCACTGCCCTCAAACCTATTTTAATCACCGTATGGACTTTATACAAGTCTTCTCAGAATTTCAACTGAAAAAAAAAACCACGAGAACCTATGTGGACGACAGCGGTGATCAATGTAACAAGGGGATTATCTGTAAAGTACCACCGATGTTTTACACCAGTGTTCCAATCAGGGTCAGGGATCCCAATGTGTTATATTTACACCGCAGTTTTTACAGTCTCTGTAACAGCTAGGCACTTTAAGGGGAGTAAATTCAACCTTGTAGCAATATTCCGAAAACAAAATGAGATTCTGTTAATCATTACACAAACGTAAACCTGACAATTTACAAGAACTGTATGATAATCACGTGTTTTAGTATAAATGTTTGGTGAACTTTGTACCGTCACGACCCAACGATTATTTGTACGTGTGCTTGATGGGAGGTCGATGCTTGACGCCATAATACATGAACGGTTGGAAAGACAGACTAAGCAGGCAGTATAACAGGCGTGTTGGAGAGGAACCATTGTTCAAGAGAAACAAGTTTTAGACACCGGGGATCGCTGACGAAACAGGCAGTATATCCTCATAGATATCTGAGATTATGTATGTGTTAATAGCGACTGCTATCTTCGCGAGCAGCCTGTCTGCTGCTTACGACATATGTCCTCTGGGCACTGGTAAGTTATATCGCCCATTCCATGAAAGGTCGGTCACGCCAATTATCTTGTTTGATTAACCTTTCCTCTATCATTCGCATTGTCGAATATGCATATATATGATACCGTATTCGTGAACTAGAATTTTGGTAATCATATTAATGCTAGCCATTATCATATTAATGCTAGCCATTCTCATGGATTCTAGAGGCATTAATCTGTATGACAGAGCACGTGACTCTTTCTTTTAGTATTTCAAGCCGAGGATTCTGGTTCAGCTTTGGCTGCGCGTCTGTCCCAGGAACCATAATAACAGGAGAGGCTCAAACCCGTTACAATGAATTCAAGTGTAACATGAACAAAGCATCTGTAGAGTATATACACAGAAAATGGGGATTAAAATGTCATTAAAGTAAATCGGAATGCCAAACTGCTATCAAACCGAAGTAAGGTAAAACAAAGAACAAACAACAAGTGTTTTGAGGAAATGCTGAAGTATTACATTTTTTCTGACGTTCTTAGAAAAATGAAAGTTTCAAAAAGATTATACTGATGCACCACTCAGTTAGTTTTGCTTTAATTTCAGAAGAGATTATTCATGATGTGTTTGGCCAGTCTACAAGTAAAGCACATGCACAGAGCGGGCTTTGGCAGAGGGTGCCCTGTCCATCGCTCCGAGAAGGTGACATCATAGTAGCAGTTGTTTGGTACAAAGGAAATTCACTGGATGATCCTTCAAAACAACGACTTATCAGTCACTCAAATGGTAAAGACACTCCCTCGAGCGACAGATATGCAACGTCGTCAGGTTTCAGCCTCGTGATTAAAGGTGTCAGAGATTCGGATGAAGGGAAGTACCTTTGTCACGTCATAACACATGGTACTGCCAATAGACAAGGAGAAATCGTCCTGGAAGTTTTCGGTAAGTCACCAAAATACTCAAACCTGACTTCAACCCTCAAGCAGATAACTTTATTAAAGAAAGACAGCTTTTTGACAGACTGCAGTTGTTAATAACACATGCAATTACTTTGTTGCCCTAATTTCATATATTTATATTCAGGAGACTCATTTCCGGCTATAACCAAGTACATTTCGTCCACGGCCACATTGCAGCGAGAAGGCAGACAGAATCTACGATGTCAGTGTGCGTCATTGACACCAAACGCAATATCCGTAGTGTATTGGTCAACGGGAGATGGCATAACTAAAGATACAGAGATCATTGGTGCACGTTTTGCTGATGGTGCTACACTACAGTTTCGAAATGGCGTTCAATACAGCATTGAAAGCGACGGAACACTCACAGTTAATTCTGTCGGCGCTTTGCATGATGCAGCGAGGTTCTGGTGTCATGTATTTCAGTCAGACGGATCACAGACAGATTGCTACATAGACGTCCACGTATCAGGTATGTTGTTATATTCTAGATAGTCTTAAAAATATGAATATCATCTACAGACAAGTGTTAATTTTCCGTTGTCCCTAGCATCGCCAATTAATATGGACGTCATACTCGGAACTTGAAGAAGAGGATCTCATTCGTCATGCATGCACATTTACAATCAAAGTTAAACATTAATCGTTTAATCTTCGTTTACTAACTCCAGGTGAGACTCCATTGTTTGGTCCTCTCAGGGCATCAGAAGCATCATTCTACCTGCTGAAGGGAACGAGGCAGATAATTCCTTGTACAACTTGGACACCTGGCAATGCAACATGTTTGGTGCAATGGTTTAAAGTTGATATCTCTAGCCACCATCTCCTCATCAATTACACGGTGTCCACCAGTGCTGTTCATGCTGATCCATCGTTTGACCTTGCTCTTGACTTCGGTCTGGTAATGAAGTCAGTTGATGAGGATGACGGTGGGAACTACAGCTGCTCTGCAAACCCTGAAGCCAATGGAGGGCTTGTTGAAGTCCGTGTTATTGGTAAGTGTTAGTTTTTTAGTAGGGTGGGTCATTTTTTTTGCACGCTTATTTGACTTTAGAACATAGGATTGTTTATGCCTATGGCAATTTTCTTTGTCGATTTAGTATTCATTTTACTTTTTTTCCCTTTCTGTGTAAGTGTCATTCTATTCCATTTTCGTCACTGTAATCGAAATATTTCACCACTGGGTTTTCACTTGTTATTGTTGTATAAACAGGAGATATGTTTCCTGTGGGTGGAGGGAACGCCACTAAAGGAGATGACACAACATTTGAATCGGATAGCAAATTTACACTGCACTGTCCAGCCATTGAGGGTGTATCTATAGGTAGCAGAGCCACGTTGATTTGGTCATTTGGTGCTGTTGATGCACAACTGACCACTGTGGTTGGAAAACTGGATCTACCAGCTGGCTCCAAATGGCTGTCTGACAAAGACGGCCACACCTGCTTCGGCCTAACAGTTGAAGGTTCTTTACTTCTAACGAATTGCTCTGAAAACAACGCAGTCAGATACTGGTGTCACGTGTTTCCCCATGGCGAAGCGTTACGAAGGTACTACATAGATGTGGTAATGAAAGGTAAGGTTTCCTGCGTAATTTGTGGTCATAAGAACATTCTTTAAATGAACAAAAAACCTGTTTATCTGGTCGATGGAGTGATGAATGTGGCTAAGTTAAGTATCAAAATGAGGACGTTATCAGATAATCGCCGTCTGATACCGTCCTGATGTATAGATAGGATTGTTTTCTTCACATCCACAGTTTACATAAACTCATACACAAACACTCTATATAAATCTTTTGCTCGGGATGGTTGAATGTAACTGAATTTCTCATTTACTTTGACAGATTCCATCAAGCCTTCTAACATTGGTCTCATAGCTGCCCTTGTCTCTATTTCTGCACTTGTTCTCGTTGGTATCACTGCGTATTTGATATGGAAGCTACGCAAACGGAATCCACCTCACGTTTTGGAACAAGTTGTCTACCACCCAATTCCTAAAACAGGTTAGTGGCGTTAAAACCCGCGACTATTTTTTCGTGGCTGTAATCATGCAATATTGATGTTTCCTTGATTGTACGCCATTGATGGTGACGCCATTCTGAATATTATCATAGTTCCTATCACCGAAATTAAACTACACGAGTAATGCAGGTCTCTTAATTTTAAAGTTTTTCCGGGCATTGCTATACACGCAGTGTAGATATGTGTGTGCGCCAAACGAGAGTATACATTTGGAAGTTCAACATACTTGCTTAAATTTACTTCGTCCCATTCTTGTCACTGAATTTCAAAATTGTATTCTCTGTTTCTTAACAGAACCTGCCAGAAAATTTAGCGTGTCGTCGATCGCTACGATGGTCCGGGAGTTTGTGTCAGAGAAAATGAACAGACTGCCCATCACGCCTTGGGTGACAGGTGATGACAGCTACGCGGCGATGGATGATGTATACACACCACTGGAAATGTACCTCAATGTATCTATTGCAGGTTGTAAAGCTAGATATAGAATAGAGTCAGAGTCTGAAATCTTTGATGACGGTATCTCTGAATTTTCGAATTGTCATGTACTCCTTGAAGGTAGATCAGGTTGTGGTAAAACTGCCTTACTTAGCAAAATGGCATCTGATTGGTCACTGGAAAAACCGCACGCAGTACTCGGTCAGAAAAAGATGGTCTTTGTTCTGCCGGCGAAAATTCTCATAGAAGCTAGGAATATTGGGCAAACAGTTGTTCAATATATGCTTAAAGCTGGCACGAAGCATTGGGCAAATTCGATCAATGATTACTGTTTGACTCATCCCGACGAAGTGGCCATTCTTGTTGATGGCTGCAATGACACACACGACATAGACAACGTCATGGAGATCATGACGGAACAAGGTCTCTTGGGGTGTCAAATAGTGATAAGTGCAAGACGTACACGGTTGGCGGAAGAAACGAGCAAATATAAACTTCGCCACATAACAATTACTGGTTTTACGCAAGGAAGTGCAAAGACGTACATTGAAAGCCACTATGATGCATTCAATCGCTTAACTACCAACAGTAAGATTCAAACTAAGACAACTCAAATCTCTTCAGAGATTGACAAAACACAAGAACACAAAGAAAAAGACGATACAAATTCACAAAGTAGTTGTGACAAATCGGAGAACGGCTGTGAAAATCAAAGTCGACGATCTCATTCACTTATTCACAACTACTTAGACACAAACATTCTACACCCAAATGTGGCTTGTCTTCCCGTTATCATAACGACTCTTTGTCAGTTATCCTCTTGGACTGATGGGGTGGCCTTCCAAGGTAATCCGACTATGGGTGACGTGTTTATTAGATTGGTGAAATGTTTGTTGGAGAGAAGCAGTGATAGATACAATGATGATACCAGAACTCATGAGGCTTTGAACAAACACGTAGAGTTTGATGATGTAACAGGCCTATCAAAAGTACAGCTTGAAATACTGCAAAAGTTGGGAGAGGTAATTCTGCCAAAAATGTTGGAAAATGAAAGCCCAGTTAAATTCTCCAAAGCAGATTTTGTGAATTCGTGTGATAACGGTCAGGCAATCTTAGACGTGGCAATTAAAATTGGTCTTGTCCGTTGTGAAGTGGATACATATGTTTACTTCGTCCTTGAAATACTTCGGGACATCTGCGCTGGTATTGCCTTGGCTCATACTGCTGAACAAGATAAAAAATGGATGGCTAAACTTCAGCACACTGATTTGATGAGTGCAGCTGAAACGTTTTCAAATGTGTATGTGTTTGCTTGTAGGAAGAGTCAAACGGTTTGCAGTGGACTTGTGCAAAAGATAGCAGACTGCAAAAAGAAGGAAACAACCAATGTCATTGTTATGCAAACAATGACCCAGTTGTGTCTACTTCTGAACTTTGAAGGAAAATGCAAAGGTTCGTTGAATGCCAAGTTTGCCGGCCTCTTTGAGGGAGGGAAAGTTCGTCTCGGAGGCGTTTCTGGTCACACGATCAGAATGCTGTCCTATTTGTTCGAACATGTAGACACACCGGTTGAAGGTGTTGCTTTGTGTGTTGAATCGGTTGAGTTGTTGCGACTTGAGAACGATGACTGGGGAGAGTTTCGGGAATACTTTGAGTACTTTTTCCCATTGAATCTGAAAGAGGACATCCAGGAAACTGAAGAGATGCAAAGGTTTTCAGAAAACGGGACACTGACAAAGTTGCGTAAAAGAGTAGAGTCCAGTAACAAAGACATGCCTCAGTTTGCCCCAGACCAGTCAGACATCAAGGTCCTTCGGACTGTACAGTCGTTGGGTCTTTATAAGCTTCTGGAGTGTCAGGCAGGTGAACTGCACACACTGGGGGCAAAGGAACCGTTTCTTGCAAACCAGCCTGATCAAACTGCACAGCCTTCAACGTCGCCGTCAAGGATTCATGAGTCGGGCTCTGCAATTGAAGGCCCGGTTTCTCACACCCATTCCCATTCTGGTGAAAGTCACCAAACAAGTGCATCAAGCGAGTTAGTTCGATGTTTGTCGTATCTGACAAGGCTTGAAAACGTCGTTCTTGTGGGGACAATTTTCAGTTCAAATGATATTTGCAACTTTGTTTGTAAACCTGGAAACGTCCCGAAGTTGAAAAAGCTAGATCTTCGTCTGAATAAGCAGTTTGGTGATGATGCGTTCTGCGCAGTTGCAGACCTACTCCAGCGACGCTGGAGACAAAATGTCAGTATCATTGCAGACCTCCGATTGTCTTTGTATAAAGTTACTCCTAAAGGGTTTACTAGAGTAAAGAAGGAATCAAGCGCTGATGGAGCCATCAACTGGTCTAATATAAAAACACTCTATCTACTGCATAGTAACATTCCAACGACATTCTGTGATTTCCTCAAAAATAGCCTGGAAACAAAAATACCATTCTCGGTTAAAAAAGATAGAAAACCGTACATTGAGATACTATATGGTAAAGAAATGGAAATGCTGGACCCACCTTTTTGTTGACTTTCTTCACAAAGAGAAGTAATTCAGTACTGAAAACATAACAAAGAACATCAATGTCTTGTCCTATAGACTCTTTTGGGAGGAAAAAAAACATGTTAAATGACAAGAAACAAATCAGTTTCTTGCGGTTATTATGTACAGTGTAGAGGCTAATTTAAACAATCTGATACACTATTTTCACTGCGCAATAGTCGTAGCCTTGTTGCCATTTTGTGATTGGACAATGAACGACGTTCATTTGATGGTGTCTTCGTACCTCCAGCCAGTGCAAGTAGCTGCAAGCGGGGTCGCAAGTAGTGCTGCTTACCGTACGCACCTGGGATCCGTCCGCACTCGATCAGTATACAATACGTTCAGAATCATTTTAGTGACGGTCTGTTTTCATAAATGAACATCATGTAAAGAAAATAATTTTCCAATTTTCCAAATGATCTACGATTACATCGTGAGATCGTTTAGACAGCCCCCCCCCCCCATAAATGCATGAAAGCATGGAGGAAAGTGAATACGGAATTGGAGTGTTAAGTAATTCTTCCGGTCGCATTATCAGTCCTTTTTAGATATTAGGGAGGTATTTTTTTTAATTAAAACAATTATTGAAGAGAAAAGCAGGGATCAATTTAATACGCATAATATGTACATAAAATTAATAAATTTACATTCATAATATATTTTTTTAAAGAAAGCATGAGTATAGATGAATAATATAAGTTTCTTTTTAAAGAGAGAAGTATTCCATTCCCAAAGTTTATGCACAAAATTAATGTCCAACGAATCATTGCAGATAGCTTGCAATGTTCATTCAAATATCGAGATGTATACACAGTAGGGTTTTGTGAAATGATTTTTCTTTTCCCCCTTTCTGTATCATTATGTGAACGAAATGTGTCAAAAAAAACCTGCAGAATCTGGCCTTGTACGATGAACATGTACATGCGGCGCCCGTACGTGTACATGGTACCGTACGTACTTGCGCACATGTACTTCAACGTCGTTAATTGACCAATCACAAAATGGCACCAAGGCTACGCCTATTGCGCAGTCTATTTTCCATTTATACATATGAATGAAGTAGTTAATAGCTTGAATTTATAAAAGATTAATTCTTTGGAAGAAACCTGTTTGGCAAAGAACTCTTTGAGTGCTAAAAAATACGTTTCTTGTGATCAAGAAAATCAGCTCTATGTAATGAAAGAATTTCCGTCAAGCGTAGAATGAAGTTCAGCTTCTCTTGATATACAAAACGTAGAGTAGCAGGATAAGGAAAGGCAGCTTTTAAGTGAATCAAGAACTCTGCTAGTTGAAGTGTTTTTTTTTATATGAATCCCATCTGCTGTTTTAGACAGTCAATATCATCAAATGATTTTGTCATTTTTTAAAATCTTAGTGCTCAAGAGTTACCTGGATCCAGGGCTACTGTTGATTTTATCAGCTTTTTTTTAATGACTAGAACCATAACTTACAACAAATTAGTACAATGCAGTAAGTCAGCTTGCTGAAATAACTGACGGTGGAGTATCAAATATAGGACGTGGCATTATACCAGTGTCACTTAGGTGTAACTGAGTTTGTGGCTGGCATCTTTGTCATACTTCTCCTGTTCCCTGAGAAAAATATCCCATCAGGTGTATGGGACGATATGAACTCATACTACTTGTTCAGTGTACAGGAGAAATAATCAGCTATCCTTGCACACATAACACCATCCACCGTGGTTTAATTTAGTCTCTAGTTGAAGTAGTTGATATATGATGCCTGTGGCACGAATAATCATGTGATTAAGACTTTTAACTTTGGCAAACGGCTCTGAAGGACCATTGGTGTAAAATGTTTCAATATTTTAACTTCAGATCAATGATGGTAACATATTCAAAGTAACTTGTGAAATGGTTGTAATTGTTTATGTAAACATGATTGTTATAGTTATACCAATGGTCTTACTATCTTACAGTTTGATTCAACTTATTTACTAAGATTTACATTCCATGACTAACCGTCTGTACAAATGAATACAGAATGCTTTTACCCAACAACATCAATGGTTATCTTTCCTTTTCCATCCGCCGCTGAATTTGAACCTAATAAAACGATGCAAAAACAAATATGCGGTCTATTTGAACAACGAAATGACGATACTGTTGCTTGGAAACCTATTTTTACATCAGCTAAAGTCCAACTTCAAACGTTTTCGTAAACACGTGAGGTATACTGGATTACACATACGGCCCTACTCTCTTGTGATTGCTTTAGAAACATACGAAGAATAGAGCCTATACTTGCTTGAATATAACGCATTTGGCTCTCAGAGAGATACTTGTTTTCGCGTGAAGTATGAACCGGCAGTTAGCCTCCCTGTGCCCCATTCCCCTTTGCCCCCGATACTGACGAACAACGCGTCCCTGTGTTTGATAGTGCTTAGTGTCGTTCGCATACGAGGATGCCATGATGTTTCTTATCCCCCCCCTTTAATGTTATCTAGGTGACAGATGAGTGTTAGTTCTGGTCATCCGCTAAGAAGATTTTGCAAAATACGATAGTTAGGGGGCTTGCCTTTTGGAAACACACGCACACATTCCGCATATCTGTGGTATATCGGGGGTGGGGATAAAATGGGTCTTGTGTTAACTACAATTTGTTAGAAAAGTGTGACGGTAGAGTTAAGACTAAACTCGATACATGTTGCAAAGAAGGACGAATACTCCAAATAACTGAAGACTGGAGTGAACTACATCATGTGTAGAAAGAAATTGATTTGTTTCGAAGTGTCATTACACAATCCTTCAGATTCAATAAAACAATGAAAGTTAAATGTTTTCGAAAACGGTCATTTTGTCCAGAAATCCAAATTGATGTATATATACTGTATGTGAAACTGTAGCTCCAATCTCCAATCATGAGGTGCTGCTCAACATGACATAATGTATTCCAGACAACAGATTGATTAAGAGGCATTGGCGTTGGGTATCCGAAATAATTGTAAAAACTTTCGCATTACAGAACAATCTATGGCAAATTGTGACATCCATTTGCGATGTAAAGTGATGGAAACAATTGAAGCTGTCAAATGCGCCTTATCTTTTTGCCTGGACGCCTCTCGGTAAATCCTTTCAAACTCGTAATTGGCTGTGTGTTGTTTTAAGAAATGTAATTTCATTAAGTTCGGCGGGGTAACGAATTAAAGCAACAGTTAATTCTCTTTGTAAATATCACTGCGCTATGCAAATGTATAATAGGATGATGAGGTCCACTGATTGGGTGTGGCAAGAATGTGCCATATATACAGACAGACACTAGACAATCAATTAATTGATAATTTTCTTACTACATCCTGTATTTATGCGACTGAAGCAGTGATGGCATCATCTTCTCATGCAGTTAACAGAATGGTCGCAACATTACTTGTAAGTTTTGTTCATCTGTTGGCGGTAGTATATGTTTTTCCATCTTGCAAATAATGCAGATGAAGTTGTAATGCACAAAAGATTAATAAATGTGATGCGATCATGCTAAATGAGTTGTCTGTCGACCCTAGTCAATTTTTTTTTATACAGATTTGAAAAGAGCACAATCCCAGCATTACTTATGTGGAAACTGCATGCTGGTACCATCATTAGTTTAAACATTTTGGAAGTAGAAACACCAGAAGATGTTATGAAGTGATGTGATAAAGCCCCCTATTTTGGCCTGTATGTCCAAATGAAAGTCCATTTAGCTTGATTGCATCAAAAAAAATTAGCATGTTTTACTACACGTCTGACAATAGAATTGAAAAATTAAAGTTAAAACAATATTTTATAGTGTCACAGTTTTTACACAGAATTATTGACATGATGAGATAAATGAGTGGCATGACTGTCGGTAAGCCCTCCTAAGTTTGTTTCAAGCCAATGTCCCGGCAAAACACTCTATATATTATTATATTTTATATCCAAGCCATGAAATCTGACGCAGCCAGACAATTCATAATTTTTTTTAACATCTTCGATGAAAATGGACAATTGTTTGGACGGCTGTTTGCGCAGAATTCCTCATCAATCACGAAACAGTCATTTAATCAGCTTTTCCAGTCGTATTCTGTGACATATACAACTTGAATATGAGTGAGTAAATTGCAGTCTCGGCCAATCCTGACGTCGAATTTTCGGTATTTTTAAGCTAGACATTTCCCACAAGCTAGACAATTGTGGAGGACCTCAAACACATTGCCAGGAAATTATAGCACATATCCAAGTCCCTGTACCATTGGATATTGTGAGAACTCATCAAGTGTTTAAATAGGCAAAATTGTTTATTGAATCAAGTTCAAAGGTTAATCTGACAGCACAGACTAAACAAATTGTGTAGAGTTAATATGTTAATGATACACTACTGTGTTTGTAATGTCTGAGTATTGATAACCTTTGCGATATCATTGTATTGCGTATAATTATTATAGCTGCCATATGTTCTAGAAAACGAGCAGTTTGTAGAACTCAATTCACGTCTATTTAATTACTTGTTAAATTCCTTAAATCGGTGAATATATAAAATACATTTCTAATCATTTTTCTCTTACACATTCTTATCGGGTATGTGACATAGTTGGATCCTGTTGGATTCAGCAGAGTAAGGGTTAATATGACTAAAGTAATTAGAAAATCAACTTTGCATTACACAATCCGTTTAAAATAGCATACAAAAGTGTTTTTCGTGGTAGATTGAAGATTTAATGTGATTATGACAATTAACAATTGCAAACAGCTCTGAAAGACCATTGAAGTAAAATGTTTCAGTATTTTATATCCAGATCGATGAGGGTAGCTTTTTTAAAGAAACTACAGAAAAAAGGCGGAACGTGATTGTTATAATATACAATCAATAAAAACAAATTATATGCAGTCTATCTGAACAACGAAATGGCGATACTGTTGCTTAGAAACCTATTTTTACATCAGCCGAAGTCTAACTTCAAACGTTTACGTAAACACGTAATGTATTCTGGATTAGACATACTCTCTTGTGATTGCTTTGGAAATAAAAGAATAAAACCTAAATTAATTGAATATAACGCATTTATCTCTCAGTGAGGTTCTTAATTTTTCGCTTTTGTTTTTGCACGAAGTATGAACCGCCAGTTAGCCTCCCTCTGCCACATTCCCCTTGCCCCCGATATTGACGAACAACGCTAACTTGTGTTTGATAGTGCTCAGTGTCGCTCGCAAACGAGGATGCCATGATGTTTCTTACCCCCCCCCGCCCCCCAAAAACCCCTTAATGTTTGCAAGGTGATAAATGAGTGTTTGTTCTGGTCATCTGATGAGAAGAATTTGCAATACAATAGTTAGGAGTCTTGCCTTTGAAAACACATGCACACATTCTTTATACCTGCTTTGGTAGATAGAGATAAAAGGGGTCTTGTTTTAAACTAAAATTTGTGTGGAAAATGTGTACGGGGTAGAGTTAAGACTAAACTTGATGACATTTGCAAATTAGGCCCAAAACTCCACATAACTGCATACTGGAGTTAATATCATATGTATGGGAAATTGATTAGTTTGGAAGTATCATTACCCAATCCCCCAAGTTCAATAAAATAATGAAAGTTAAATGTTTTCGAAAACGGTCATTTAACTCCAGAATTCCACATCAAGGTATATACAATGTATGAGAAATTGTAACTCCAATAATGAAGTACTACTCAAACTGTCATATCTGGTATTCGGGACGACACATTTCTAAAGAAGCATGGTTGTTGGGTATCCAAATTAAATGTAAATATGCGTACATTACAGAGCAATATATGGCAAATTGTGACCTTCACAATTAATTAAAGATTAATAAATGGGATGCGATCATGCTAAATCGTCATCGTTTTCACGAAGAGCCACATATGTGGATTTTGAAGAAAAAACGTTTTCGAGATAATCGCAAAAGAAGTTTCTCACTGCAAAAAACTGCAAAACTGCAAAAAATACCACTTTGCAACGACTTTGTGCAGCAAGAAAACCATCACACGATTCTACGAGAGCTGAATTTTTACATGAACCCAGTAATAAGACTTAATATAGCAGTTAATTGGTAAAAATTAATTAGTAAAGATATGTGGCTCTTCGTGTCAGGCTTCTGACATATTGGCCCTTTCTGTTCAACGTGTATTTTCATAGGCGCGCGTGAGCGCGCGCACAGCTTAAAATGTAACAAAGATATGTGGCTCTTCGTGAACACGGGAATCTCATTTTGACCTACTTTTCCGTGCAATGGGGTTTGTGTGCCAAAAGGGCCAAAATGTATGTGGCTCTTCGTGAACACGCAAAATGCATTTATCGAGATTTCTGCCCCTTGCAACGTTAATGTAACTTGGAAATTAATGATGTTTTGCTTACAGAAACATGTCAAAATGGTTAAGTACATTGTTTTAAAGCAAAATATTGAAGAAAAAACAATCGAAATCGGAAAAATGGTATTTTTTGACATATGTGGCTCTTCGTGAAAACGGTAACAAAATGAGTCGTTTGTCGACCCTGGTCAATATTTTTTTTGACAGATTTAAGAAGAGCACAATCCCAGCATTATACTCCGACTCAATAAGAATGAAACTCAAGACATAATGTTTTGTGTGCATCTTCGCCACAGCTTCAAGCAATTTATTTCAAACTTTGTTCTTTCGCCAGATACCGAATTGATATGGGCAAGCTGGCATCAAGTCACGTTGCTAACAGGCATATGTACATATACGTCAATTATCAATTTGGCTCCCAGGCCAACCATTAATGAAGCCAACCATTACAGTTGTTTTTCAATCGCCTTCACATGGTAACTGCAACTTAGGTGACAATGAGCAGAAGTGAAACCGCACTAATCACAACGTTGCGTACCTTGTCCGGCACCTAAAATATTTTCTTAAAGTATTCGTAACAAATTAAACACAAAAAGAACGTGTTGCATTCCATTTAACGTAAGTAATGCACGTTTAACGCGGATTTCATTTGAATGCCACAAATGGCGAAAACCTTGTTGTTTATGTCGTTTGCATGCAGTTGGATTCTCATGTTGTATGCTTCATTCATTTATTTACAGATCTGAGAGAAGACCACATTCTGGCGGCAGACAACATCTCTTCTCCGAACAACAAGAGCATGCATTCGTGAACATGGTTTTGGAAAACAACGTAATCCGCCTGAAAGAAATCCAAACAAGTGTTGTTGAGGACAACGACACATTTGCAGACATTTCAAGTGTCAATTTGACTACTATCAGACGTATCTTGAAGAGACACCGAATGCGAATGAAGCAAGTTACCAGAGTGCCCTATGAGAGAAACAGCAACAGGGTGAAAGAAATGCGCTACCAATACGTTCAAGTAAGTTTTCTTCAGGCTGATCGTGAGGCCGAAAGCGTTGCAGGCTTCGGCGAAGCGATTCAGTAGCTGCTGCAGGTCTTCTGCTGTGTGGGTGGCAATCGCTGCGTCGTCAGCGTACAGGAAATCCCTGAGGAGTCTCATCTGCACTTTCGTCTTGGCACGGAGTCTAGACAGATTGAATAGGTTTCCATCAGACCTCGTGCGAAGGTAGATGCCCTCTGTGGCTGTTCCAAAGGCGTGCTTAAGCAGGACAGAGAAGAAAATGCCAAACAGAGTCGGAGCAAGGACACAGCTCTGCTTGACTCCGCTACGGATGTTGAATGGCTTCGATGTTGTGCCGTCGTACACAATGGTACCCCTCATGTCCTCATGAAAAGATCGTACTAGGCTGAGGAGAATTGGCTGGCAACCAATCTTTGCCAGGATCTTGAAGAGTCCGTCCCTACTCACGAGGTCGAAAGCCTTCGTTAGGTCAATAAAAGCGATGAACAAGGCCTTTCTCTGTTCCCTGCACTTCTCCTGAAGCTGCCTGACGGAGAACACCATGTCGATGGTCGACCTCCTGGCTCTGAACCGGCACTGTGACTCTGGGTACACTCTTTCAGCAAGGATCTGGAGTTTGACCAAGATGACTCTGGCGAAGAGTTTACCGACAATGCTGAGGAGGGATATACCGCGATAGTTGTTACAATCGCTCCTATCTCCTTTATTTTTTATAGAGAGTGATGATGTTTGCGTCTCTCATGTCTTGGGGCACAGAACCCTCTGTCCAGCACTGGCACAGAAGTTCGTGAAGCTCCTTGATGAGTGTCCCCTTGCCGCACTTAAGAACTTCAGGTGGAATGCCGTCGCCACCGGGGGCCTTCCCTGAGGAAAGTGCATCCAGCGCCTTCTCGACTTCTTCCATTGTCGGCTCTTGGTCGAGGTTGTCCATAGTGGGCAGGCGCTGTACTGCATCCAGGGCTTCTGTGCTGACCAGGTTTTCTCTGGAGTAAAGTTCTGAGTAATGCTCCATCCAGCGATTCATCTGCTGGTCCCGATCCTTGATGACCTCTCCGGTGGCTGACTTGAGGAGAGCTGACTTGTTTTGTGTGGGGCCAATTGCCTGCTTGATTCCTTCATACATGCCCCTTACGTTGCCGACGTTGGCAGCAGTCTGTATGCTGGAGCAGAGTTGAAGCCAGTAATCATTGGCACAGTGCCGTGCGGACTGTTGAACTCTGCTTCGGGCTGTACGGAGTGCCTGCAGGTTCCCCGCTGATGGCAGGTTCTTGTAGGCTGAGAGGGCTTGTCTCTTTTCCTTGATGAGGGGTAACATTTCCTCTGCATTGGCCTCAAACCAGTCAGCTGACTTGTTTTGCCTCTTGCCGAAGATGGACATTGCAGCATTGTAGATGGTGTCCCTAAGGTGTGACCATCTCACATTGGTGTTATTGCTGGGCGGTCCAGGTAAGACATTTTCCAGTGCCTTAACAAACTCTTCCACCTTATCGGGATTGCGAGTCTTGCTGGTGTCGATGCGAGGTCTGCCCTCTCTCTTTGCTCTGTGGAATCTCTGGGGTTGAAGCTTTACTTTGCAGCCTACGAGAGAATGGTCGGTGTCGCAGTCTGCGCTCTGGAAGCTGCGGGTCAGTTTGACACTTCCAAGACCACCGCGTCTTGTAAGCACCAGGTCGAGCTGGTGCCAGTGTTTGGACCTGGGGTGTATCCAGGAGACCTTGTGCTGGGGCTTGGTGTCAAAGAAGGTGTTGGTGATGCATAGATTGTGGTGACAGCAGAGCTCTAGGAGGCGCTGCCCGTTTTCATTCATCTTCCCAACTCCAAATTGGCCCAAGCAGGAGGGCCAAGAGCTGTGATCGGCACCGACTCTGGCGTTGAAGTCACCAAGAACGAAGACTGGCTCTTGCTGAGGTACTTCTGTAACAGCGGAGCTAAGGTCTTCGTAGAAGTTGTCCTTTGCTTCCGCAGAGGATGCCAGTGTTGGTGCCATTCCTGCTGCTGTGTGGAGCTGGAGCTTGAGGATCCTTTCGGAGCCCTCAGTGGGTGGTACAATGGAGCCCAGCAGTCTGTTCCTGACGGCAAAGCCAACACCGTGTATCTTGGTCTCTTCAGGGGGTTTACCCTGACAAAAGAAAGTAAAGTCCTTCTCCCTGAGGGTGCCGGACGAGGACAATCTTGTCTCTTGGAGGGTGACAATGTCCATCTTGAGTCGTTGTTGATAACAGCGGTCTTACGAGCATCAGTCACTTGCTGTAGGTCTTTTGAGAGGCCCGGTGTCATGGTCCTTACGTTCCATGTACCCAGTCTGATAACTGGGCTGTTTTGTTTTTTCTTTCTTTTGCCTGGTGCACAGTTATCGATCCGCTTGTCGGAGTATAGCCTAAGCCCCACGCACCCAGTGAAGCAGGCGGACCGTGGCGGGACAGCACCTTATTGGCTGGGGGCTGCCCAGCTTGAGGCGGGCGGAAGCTATCCAGATGAAATCCTAGAATTTCTCCCACCGTCGGGAGCGGCCCCTGGCGCCTCACTGTACGCCAAACGAGTATCAGGCTTATCACCGGTAACTGCTGCTCCCCGTGTTGTGTCGACGCTATGAAGCGACGCTGCAGTGTCCTCTTCAGGGCAGAATCCTGGGCAGTAGTAATGGAGAATCGACTGTCGCCCATGCAGCAGATCTCCCCTCTCCATGCCACCAATGTAGTCCAAGGGAAGGGCAGACGCCGATACACTTGGCACCAGTGTCATCGCAGGAGTTGCCGGAGTGTAGCTGAAGACAGCTGCAAACCACCTAAGGGACTCCAGCTCCAGATTTTTCCTCAGGGTTGACTCCCGAAGCCTTTCCCGTGGATGGGTATGCCGCAAGGCAGTGGAGGTTTGAGATCAGGGTTTTCCTTCCCCTAGATGAGCTGCCTTCCCAGGCTGTCGAGCCCCACCTACCCGAAGCGTCTGGTTTTGAGGCGCCAGATACCCGCCTTCGCCCCTTCTCCTGTCGGTAAAAGCAGTTCCGCCGGGCTTAGAGACTAAGCCACACAAGCAGGCCAGGAGTTGGACTTTGGTTGTTAGAGGCTCTTTGGTACGCATGCCATTGGGAGCTTTTTATGGGTATTGGGCGCTTATCCCCAGCTACCACCCCCGGCTTAACAACCTTTGGAACCACAATGACATACTAGGTCCGTGTACTCCGAACGCCTCTTTGCATTCTTGGATGACTTGTATGAAAATCTCACCCCTCAAGAAGAGAGAGATCTTGATGAACCAGGACTGACGAGCTTTGTCATTGTATGGGACAATGTCAGGTTCCACCACTCGGTCGTTGTGCGAGGATGGTTTGAGGCTCATGCCCACTTTTCCTTGCCCTTCCTCCCGCCCTACTCTCCCTTTCGGAACCCAATTGAGGAATTTTTCTCTGCTTGGCGCTGGAAGGTTTATGATCGCAATCCGTATGAGAGAGTTACTCTTCTTCAAGCTTTGGCAGGAGCATGCGAAGACATCGGTGAAGCAGCGTGTCAGTCGTGGATCCGCCATGTCAGACGCTTTTCCCCCAGATGCTTAGATCAAGAAATGATCGCCTCGATGACGAATAAATCAATAGTGTTTCTGTCATGCCTTGCCATATTGCGAGATATTTGCCTCAAAAGAAATGTAAAGTACATGGTGTGTTGGTATGCTATATCGATACAATTCACAACATGTTTTTTGAACGAGGTTGAAAGCAGAAAATGAATAAAAAACTAACATATAATTTTGGGATTTGTATTTTGTCATTATTTCACCTGTCGCAAAATGTTCGACAATGTGTCTTAGTTATATGTTGAGAGTCCTGTGTGATTTGACGTGAGTGTGAGCTTTTGTTACATGTTTCATGAGATTTGAAAGCAATTTTTTATTTTGTCATCGATATCTTAAGTTTAGTTATCCATACGAAGTGTTTCGGGACCCGTGTTATTTGTTTGGCGAGTATGCATACTGTTGCAGTTACTGTGTGAAAGCGATTGAAAAAACTGTAATGAATGGGCACGCATATGACCCAGTCCACATCTGTGGAGGACAGCCATGGCTGCGCTATGAAAAAACAGCACATCTGACCCCTGGGGTACGTAAGGGGGAGTGGCTGCCCCTTACAAAGTTCAAATCACATTGTACTACTAAAAACATCAATATCAGTAACAATATCAGCAACAATATCAGTAACATACCCATAAAAACTAATGCTACATGTAAACTCATCTGTGTACATGTACATGTATTAGGCCTGGGTTGTCTTCGAATCCTGTTAAAGACGCCATTTTAATAACATACAAGAGTAGGCAGGAGCTGGGGTGGTGGTGGGTAAATTTATCCAACTTGCACAGAAAGCTGTGACAGAATGAGACACACACATGTGCATTTTCCCTCCTACACTTTAGCACTGTGTTCTACAGCTGTGTCCTGATTGGTCCAATCTTGGTAATGGTCTAACATGATTGGTTAAAAAATCCCTGTTGTGATTGGTCAGAATTATACATAAATTAGTGCCAGGATCCTTCTCAGAATCCTTTTCAGGATTCCAGCTTTTGGAGAAAAGTCAATTTTGCAAGTATTTAAAGGGTTAAACTAAGGATTTTTGTGTGTGTTGTAATAGAGCATTTTATACACTTCACAATATTAAGCTGTTGGAATTTACACACTGGCCCTCATGGCAGTGTAAATTGCAAAATAAGCTGGTTGAAACCATGAGTAGCAGTAAACACTTGTTTCCCCAAGTATAATGAATTTTGTCAAAATAAATGCATTGTGACAAAATCTCTTACTGATATAGAAACCGCATGCTGGTACCATCATTAGTTTAAAAATTATGTCGGAACACCAAGAGACGTGATGAAGTGGCCCTATTTTGGCCTGTAAGTCCAAATAAAAGTTCCTGACTCAGTTAGCTTGATCGCATCAAAAAAGTCTTAGCATGTTTTATTACACTTCTGACAACGGAATTGAAGAATTAAATTTAAAACAATATAGTAAGTGTAACAGTTTTTACACATAATTATTGACATGATGAGATAAATGAGAGGCATGACTGTCGGTAAGCCCTCCGAAGTTTGTTTCAAGTAAATCTCCCGGCAAAACACTGTTGCGTTTTATGTCAAAGCCATAAAATCTGACGCAGCTGTCAGACAATTCATAATCTTTCTGAACATATTGGATGAGAATGAACAATTGTTTGGACGGCTGTTTGCGCAGAATTCCTCATCAATCACGAAAAAGTTATTTAATCAGCTTTTCAAGTTGTAAACTGGGACCTACACAACTTGAAAGGACTTTGTAAATTGTACTCTTGGCCAAACCTGACGTCGAATTTTCGGTATCTTCAAGCCAGACATTTCCCACAAGCTAGACAATTGTGGAGGACCTCAACAGGTTGCCGGGAAATATCAAATTCTCTCTACTTCTATATAGTGTAAGGACTCATGAAGTTTTTATATAGGCAAAGTTGTTTATTGAATCAAGTTCAAAGGTTAAACTAACAGCACAGACTAGACAAATTGTGTAGAGTTAATATGTTAATGATACACTACTGTATTTGTCATGTCTGAGTATTGATAATCTTTGCGCAATCGTTGTATTGCGTATGCTTACTGTAGTCGCCATACGTTTAAGGAAACGAGCGGTTTGTAGCACTGAATAATGTCTATTTCATTACTTGTTAAATATCTGAAATCGGTAAGTACATATACATATATTATTATACATTTCTAATGATTTTGACATTGTTACTTTTAATAGCATTTACAAACATAACAATTTGGCTGAAGTGTATATTTTGATACGCAATTTTCCCCTAAGACTCCATTTTGAGAGCTGCTTAATGAACTAAGGGGGCATCTGTAGTTTTTTCCTGTTGCATATGTGTCTCAGTTTAAGATTAGCGTTGTTTTTACAAAGCTAAGTTGCTTTTGCTAATCATTTCAGCGCATCGTTTACTCATATCCAGTATATACATTGCTCTGAATAGTTAAAGTTGGGAAATATAATTGAGTTAATTCCCTTACAGACATTATTATTTAAATTGTACTCCCAGTGCTTACGAGGACTTTCGAGAGAGAAAAAAGGCGCAGGTTTTATTTGCAGGTAAAACTCAAACATACGATCTCTTGTTTGACAGATCTCGACCTTCGAGCGGACAAAGACGGCCAAAGAAGATGATGACACGCCGAGTGTATGTAGTTAGTGTTTATAATGATAAGCTTTGGAACATTGAAAATAAAAAAAAATCTGTACATAAAGAAAGAATTGTTATTTTATGCATTTATGGCGTATATGTATTTATATACCAGTTGAATCATTATTCGGGTAAATGTAGGTTTTGTCCTTCGACGACGTTGGAAATATTCTCCTTTCTTCAGCGACATCAAATTACGACCTTTTGGCAATTTGAAAGCTGAAATTCCGAACTTAATCAACTTCAGTGATATTTGCAATTTCGTTTAACTTGAGCAAAATAGTAATTCCGTTCGATTAAACCCCATACAAATATCGATGTATTAGAAGCAGCCCATAACTGTAGCTACGATTTTCGATATTGCATCCTTTGCTTTTGAAGTACCTCTCACAAGCATTACATTCTTTGTATTTTCCAGAAGAAAGAATATAAGCCTTCTATTTTGAAGTTCAAGAGACAATCCGTCGCTGACGTGTCTCCAGGGGAATGGCTATATCTCATCCTGTCCATCTTCGCTTTTGCGTGTGCAGCGGCTCTGTCATTCATTATGTTTGCAAAAGGAAAACCGGATTCGCCACAATTTGTATTGGCAATTGTTTTGGGTATCACAGCGGGTTAGTGACACTTAAGTTTAAATACATTCAGACTAAATGTTGTTTGTAGGTGTCTTTTATGCTATTTACTTGAACGAATTTCGGCTGTGTCACCTTTTAAAGGAATTGCAATTAAAAGTCCAAAATTTCAGACTTATAAGGCGTCGGACCTATGAGGCGTCGGACGCGGACTTATGACACGGCCCCATTCAATACATTCGATTTACAGAGGATGGGATGATTGATTTGGGATTTACTAGTTATCACAATTGGTATTCAAAGTTGGCCATGTTTTACAGATGCTATTTTTGAAGTGTGACCTCGTGTCATTCACATCGCATCAACAAACAACACACAACATAATCGAACTAGGACCGTAAAAACAGAAGCACCAACACAAGCAACACGCTACCT